TTTTTTTGCTTTTTTGGGGGGTACTATCCCAGACGAGTTATTTTCACTGATTTGGGTGCAATAATGATTCAGACTCTGGCTGCGTTTGTATTATATTTTACTTCTGATAGATTTGATAAACCAATAATTTACTGTTACGGGGATCTTGTTTGGTGTCTCGATTACGTGTGCAATATATTTTATTTTTATCAATTTTAAACCATTCAACTCGTTCCTGTCTCTATTGGTGTACGTTCCGTTTTGTAAAGCTATCTAGAAGTTTATAGATCTTGCTGAAGCTTCTTCCAATTTTAAATGACTAGTAATTCATTTTCTTTCACCGTCTGTATTTGTTACATTAATAGAATTTGCTTTTTGTGTGTGTGGGGGGGGTGTTACTGTTTTTTGTTGTTGTTGCTTGTTTTTTGTAATTCCTTTATGATAGTCCTCCTTTTATTTTCATCATGCAGCCATTTGTTCAGATATAGTCACTTTTCTTTTGATTTATTCATACACCTATCCATTTACACATCCGGCTATTGATATACCTTTTTTTATTTGTTAAGCTACTCATTTCCTTTATTTGTAAGTTAACGTTTCATGGATCGTTTTATTTAGTCACATACTTACTTCACTTTCCTAACGTTAACATATACGTTCAGATCATTGTCAAGCTAAACTCTACAGTAAAGCCAAGTTGTTTATATTAGGTTTGAGTGTCGTGTGCTCGAAATTAAACCAGTACAAGCAACGTAAAGAGAATCATGATTATTATAAAAAGATTTGTGAGAGAAAACAGGAAACCTTTTAGATTCGGATACTGGAAAAAGAATCAAGAAATAATTTTGTCCAATCCAATGCCAACTACATGTACTTTTGTATATCAGAAAGCATATTATTATTCTCTTACTTAAATGTCTCTGCGTGTAGGCCTATCATTTTTTGCCCAGGTAAAATATACACACTTACATATACATTTTCTTTTTTGGTCCGCCCTAATTGATCTTGACGCTAAGTGCTGGAAACATGCCTGAAATCAAAACAGTGAAAGCCTTGCGATTGATATACGATCATAGACGTTTTTGGAATAGGTCTGGGCTTACGTCTACGTCTTTTAGAGCCCTGCTTATTTATTCACTGTGAACGGTAATATACATGTACATACATCCTCACTCTTCATGTGCTGTGCACTAAAGTAATCATAATTATTATGCCGCTATGTGAAATCACTCGTGAGCCAAAATAGATTCATCAATATACGCACCCGAGAAAGAAATAGCCACCAGAGCCGCCGCGTAATTTACTATACCCGCTTTGTGGAATTACCTCCCGTGTTTCGATAATTTATGGACGGAATTCACGTCAGATCAAACCGAGTCTTGGCGGAAACCGACGTCATTCTTTCTATAGGGAACGCATACATCAGGGGGATGGAAACAAGGGATAAAAGAAAGTCACGGTGTCCTTTAAATCGTGTGAACAAAAAATGGAATTGATTTCGGTTAGAGAAAACTTGTGTTAACTCCCGACAAAGGACAAAGAAAGGACTGATCTGAGATTGATCGGGAAATTCCATTAGCTTCTGAACTGCTGTGATGTACATGTGGAGTGCTGTCGCTGAATAGTATACCTATCTTTGCTTGTTTTTTTAAATTGTTTTATTTCCGTGGTTGTTGTTCTGTTCATGTTGTAGCTGTTGTTTTTTTAATATTTCTCTGTTTCTGTTGCAGTTTTATGTGTGTGTTTATGTATAAGTGTATGTGTGTTTGAGTGTGTTTGTGTATGTGTGTGTTTGTGTGTGTGTTTGTGTGCGTATGTGCGTGTGTGTGTGTGTGTGTGTGTGTGTGTGTGTGTGTGTATGTTTGTTGGTGAGTGAGTGCATAATTAATATGTGTGTTTGTGTGTGTTTGTGTGTTTGTGTTTGTGTGTGTGTGTATGTGTGTGTGTGTATGTGTGTGTGTGTGTGTGTGTGTGTGTGTGTGTGTGTTTTTGCACGCCCGCGCGTATGCGTGTGTGGCCAACATGTTAAGGAGGCAACGGATTCAGCTGTTTCGGCTTTTTATTGTTGTTGTTTGTGTTGTTGTTGTTGTTGTTGTTGTTGTTGTTGTTGTTATTGTTGTTGTTGTTGTTGTTGCTTTTTGCTGTTGTTGTTGTTGGTGGTGGTGGTGGTGTTGTTGTTGGCATTGGCTGGAAGAGGGTTATGGGCCTCTTTTCTGTTCGTTTTGATGGGTCTGGTTTGTTTTCATCTCTACTCGTTAGCTTTCTTTCTGCTTGACTCCCCATCACATGCTTTTACCAGACAAGACAACAAAGCCTCGATGTCACACGCAGAAGGACTGAGTTCGATTCCCGTATGCGGAGATTCTGTATCGAATATTTCGGGCTTTCTGCTGGGACGTCGTATCTCTTTCACCCTGGGTTAACCTTGACAGGCCGGGTCAAATCTGGCCTCCTAAATGGTTTAAATTGTATCCATGGGGCGTAACACGTACCGTTCAATGCTACCGCTCCCCAAGTATAAAATTGAAGACTACTACTGACAGATTTTGCTTTCGTTCTACCCCTCTACCGTTTGTCTCCCTGGTATGTTGAAATCTTTGCCCAAGTGGGTCGGTATGTAATTTATTGACACAAGGATTATTTTCAACTTACTCTCGACATTTGCTGTTTTGATCGCGTTCTTTCCATATTCTCTAATGATATCATCTTTAGTTAATATCTGTTTTTCTCTTCCCGTGTACAGGTTCTTCGGGGGCAAACAAAACAACACCGGCTGAATCCAGACTGCAAGAAACATGTCTTCCTCACTTGTGACGTCATTTCTTCTCCTCATAACTTTGGCAGTGCAGAAAGGTGCGCATGCGTCATGCTCTTTCCCAGACACACTGAACATGGCACGCACGGACCCGCCGTGGTACAGTCACGTGAGGTCGGACGGGTCACGTGACGCCGAGTATTACATACGTCACAACGTCATGGAGATTCATTACCCAAATAACGACCGGCCACATGTCCGGTGGAAGTGCACAATGTCTTTCCACGGAAAGCTCCTGCTCAAACGGCAGGACATTCACATAAACAGCTTCTACAGGTGCGCCAAGTTTATTTTTAGAAGCCGCTCGATCGTTCAGATTATGTGGTCTCACGAGATAAAAGAGTTTGATTTAGGATTGTGTGAGAATGAATACCTGAAGCTCGATCCATGGCCTTTGATCTGGTACGACACGCTAGAGATGGATCATAAACCTTGTCCGTTTCACGGCGGGTACGACATGAAGCTTGTGGACAGTCAGTTAGGGGAAAACGGTTGTAACCTCATGCTGAGGCCCATGAGGCTGGAAGCCGAGTGTCTGGGCGGCGAGGGTGTGACCTTTGATTACGTCAGCAGCAACTGTTTGCCGGACATCAACATGTTCGTGAAGCAGCGAACGCTTTGCGTGACCGACTGGCAGGACAGTAAAAACCACTACGTGATTCTACGGCGAAACGAAGACACTGACTTGTGGTGTCTTGTGATGCCGATAGAGCGCGGCTCTGATGTCACAGCCCATCTCTACAGCGATCTGGCATGTCATTACGAGGTCGGCGCGGCTAAACAGATGCCTCGTGAGTTCAAATACTTCACTCTGCAGCTTCACACGAGGGTTTTCTCAACGCTTTGTGAAGACGAGTACCACGACTGCAACAAAATCACGTGCAACGATTACGTCAAGCACGAGTGTCACAAATCGTGTGGGATGTGCAACCCGAAAGAAGTCACGGACACATGCTCTTTTCCCCGACGTTTCAGTGGCTCATGGTTTCTGAAAGACACGGACGGCTACAAACATATCGAGCTAGAAGATTCCCAATTCGCCATCGATGGAGTAGGAAATTTCAAGTGTATGGACTTCCCCGATAGCCCATCCCGGAAGTCCAGGATCTACTCGACGGTATCTTTTTACACCAACGGTTGTCGGCCGCGATACACGTGCATCAAGTTCCAGCGACTCGGACCGTCGGTGCTGAGGTACAGCCAGAGCCAGAGCTACGTGTGGCCTGCGTTAGAGCACGACTTTGGCTCAGCTGTATGTGACGAGCAGCGGTTCCACCCAGACCCATCTCCGATAGACGACTTATATAGATCGCACGCCGGGTCAGGAAAGCCCATCGTAGCTCAGTTCCCGAGACCTGAGTATGTCCACTGTAACGTGACGTCAGTGTTGACCATCAGCGCAACTCTCCCAGAAGGCTACGTGTGTTCTGGACGTATGTACAGACATTGCGAAGACACAACAAAACTCCGTTTGGAGTTTGGAAGCTGCGGGAGTTTGATTCCTGCCCATACAGATTACAGCTGTTTAGCTAACTTCAAAGGCCACTACTGGGAGAGGATACTGCTCGTGCAAAATACTCACGACGAGGTTGACGTCATATGCTTCATCTTCAGCCAGTTCTATCCAAACGAGGCGTACGCAATGGTGGCGAGCCAGTGCGATCAGAAGAGCTTCAACTTTGTCCGGGGAGGGCTCCGAAAACCACTGCTGAAATTGGAGTTTCGACCAGAGTCGGATTCTTGCGTGTCCGTTCCACTGACGGAAGCGACGACGCTGGAGACGTTATCGAGACCGGAGCACATCGCCGACCCTCACAAAACGATGAGCAGCGACAGCAGCAGACATCACGCCAACGAGAGTATCCGGCCGGGCGCGCACACTTCTGGCTCTCTGGTCGTGACCCTCCCTCCGGCGGGAAAAGGAGGTGTTGCCCCAGATTCTGGGAGCTATAACAATGACAGACCTGGGATGGTAGACGGGTCGAAGGTCAAATCTACATCGAAAAACGACGCCGGTTTGCAGAGATTGTCTGACCGAAACAACGGCGCCAGCTGTATCTGTAGACCTTGTAACGTTATTTTCCTCCAAATTTTCATTTCTCTCGTTGTGTTGATATCCAGATGAGGACGCGCTGTGTTCAAGAATTCAGTATAAAAAGCACGCAGTCTCTCTTCATTGACTAATGCGCTTATAGCGTTTCAACTTTTGTTGTACGCAAAAGTTTGAGGTTCAATACAGAGAGAGGGATGATTTTGTTTTGCTCTTTCTGCAGTAACTCCACACTACCTGGTGATATGTTCCTGGGCCAAGTGCTGCGATTACAGAATGAAAAAGCTGATCAGCACAGCACGTTAGAAAGAAAAAAAAATCAGGCAAACTTTTCGGATGTATGTACATGCAACCTGAACAATAAACAAACCAACTTCAATCGAAAAGGCGGATAAAAGAGGTTCGGATCTGTTCAACATGCACGGACCATGAACTTTCGACTGAGCTGACATCTATGAAGTCTTTGGTAGGATTGTACGTTGGATGTGTTATCTGTTCTAGCAAAACAAATACGTTGCTTCCCAGTATGTGAACTGACCCACCTAGCCCCATTGCACACCACCTCTGTGGAATGGATTTGCACACATTTCCATATCGTCCACATGGCTTCTTTACGATCACCAATACCAAAGCAACAGGTTCAACATTGGGCGATGTGTGTGCAATATTAGCACCCCCCCCCCCCCCCCCCAACTGACTTCTTCTCAAGAGAACAATATACATTCATTTGCAAAGCAGACTACTCTCCGTTTATCTCAGTAATTCACCACAGAAGGTCTGTTGTTATGGAGAAGAGCTTACGTTTAATTCCTCCAAGACCTTCAACATGGTAATGCTTCCCATCTGTACAGGCATACCATGAGGAGGCACATTGTCAGTGTTAGTACGTTTTAGATTATTATTCAGTGGGAGTAGTTTGTGGCAAGGGTTCCAGTTTGTGCTGGTCAATTTGTGGGAAGGATTACACTTTAACTTTTGCCTTGGAGAAGTTAAACTAGGAGAAGACAAGTTTGTGTGGTACTTAGAAATATTGAAAGCGCACCCCCCCCCCCCCCCCCACACTCACTCTTCCTCTCTCTCAGAGTCTCTCTCACTCTCTCTCTCGCTCTCGCTCTCTCTCTGTCTCTCTCTCTCTCTCTCTCTCTCTCTCTCTCTCTCTCTCTCTCTTCACTCTCTCTCTCCCTCTCTCTCTCACTCTTCCTCCCTCCCTTCCCCTATGTCCCTTTCTCCCGTTCTATATCTCTCTTCGTCACGCTTTTTATCAACAATCTTCCCATCTCCGCCCTTGCTCCCACTCCTTTTTCCTTCTCCAACCCTTGAGAAATTCCCTATTCCCTCCAGTCGTGTATCACAATAGTTGTGTCAAGCCGCTGCTCGTTCTTTCATTTCAATCCTATTTCACAAGTTTTCTTTTTGGTTCACGCGACGGAAAAAAAAAAGATCTTAAGGATCTGAGAGAGGCCAGCGATATGCCACAGGGATGCAAGATGCGAGAAATACCTCTCTCTTCGTGTGAGCCACGTTTCTATATGGGGGATTCTGAGATTTTTCTCCACATTTCGTTTCCAATCAATGCGGTGAAAGATTTTTTTTTAAAGATATAAGAAAAGAAACTTGACCTTCGTGAAATATCTTGCTGCTGTCTTTATTGTTTGTTTTGTTAGTCTCAATTTAAATGCTCCGATTTCTAAATCGTGTCTTCTTGTGCGATCTTGACATATCTCTTTCTCTCTATCTACCCCCACCCCCCTCTCTCTCTCTCTCTCTTTCTCTCTCTCTCTCTCTCTCTCTCTCTCTCTCTCTCTCTCTCTCTCCCTCTCTCTCTCTCTCTCTCTCTCTCTGAGTGCGTGTGCTTAAGTATGGGCATGCATATGCGTGTGTGTGTGTGTGTGTGTGTGTGTGTGTGTGTGTGTGTGTGAGAGAGAGAGAGAGAGAGAGAGAGAGAGAGAGAGAAAGAGAGAGAAAGAGAGAGAAAGTTTGTGTGTACGTAGTGACACCTATGCATGTACTTTGCTGATGTATTCAACTAGAAACCAACTGACAATCCTACAATCATTTCGCATTAACCCCCAACTGCGTTCTTTGTATAAAGTATGGAAGGGAGGGGTGGGGGGAGAGATCGGTTAGGGTTAGATTTCTTAGAGTAATGATGGTGCCCTTGCCAAACTGTAGAAGCCAAAACTAAAAATCTCAAAATTAATAGGATAGAAATGTAAACCCCGCTAGGGTTGTTCTCCAACTATTCGTTTTAATGGAGGAATCCAGTCAGAGGTCCAAAAAGCATTCGAAAAATAAACTAATGGGAATAATAACGAGGGATTCCTTTCAATTTGCCGTCTCTGAAGTCTGTGAAAATCTCATGGGTGCGGTTTTTAGGGTGCGTCACCCAGAACCAATCTTTGTAATGAGTGGGATTGTTCAGTAGTTTAATATTAAACTGATACCACGCTTTTCTTGTTTTGAATCATGAAAGTTTTCAGAGCCATCGGTGAAAAGTGTGTCCTTGGGAAAGGCACTTTGCGCGAATATCCTATTTGGTTTGGTCCTTTCGTATAAGGACGTTTAACTCGGAGATCCCAACTTTGAAATAATCGAATAGTGTTGATAGGGGTGTTAAACCCATACCATTTCATTTCACGAGTGAAAGTAAATGTTTCCCCACCGCCCCCAAGCGCCCTTTTCCCACTCCATTAGTCCCCACGAAAACCAAGCGCTGTTTCCTGTAAGGCTAAGCTGTAACCCCACTGTAAGCATGGGTCAAGCAGTTCAAACTGTATGTTAGTCAAAATATTTTCATCCTAAAGAAGAAGGGTGCCCCTTTAGTTCAGTTGATATCACAGAGTGGATGGCTCTGGTTCAAATTCCAAACGTGGCGTTCTGAACTTGTTGGATTGTTTGGGGAATTTTTCTCAATTTTTCTTGTTCAGTCTTTTCGGAGATGGATGTTACTTTCAGAGGTCCTTCCTCATTAATTAAACGTACTGTGTTGAAACGGGCGCTAAACCTGAACAATGACCAAACTAAAAGAGAAGGGGGGTCAAGAGCATGCGAGGAAGGCTTTCTCTCTTCCATTTTATGTTTTCCTTTTCGTTAATCCAGATGGGGGTTTTTTTTTTGGGGGGGGGGGTTTGGGGGGGGGGAGGGGCGGGTTGTTTAGGGGGGAGGGGCTGCTTGTTAGTTTCTGTTCACTCTCCATGATATTATTATTATTATTCGTTGTTACTATATAGCTATGCGTGGATAGTGCGTTTTAGTGCTTGCTCAAGTGTACATTTATAAGAAAGAAAATTGTTTGTAAATATGATTATGAGTTACCATTCCTTTGTACATATAGTATCATGCATATATATCTGAGGGGTTTTATGTGCGAATGTGTTGTTGGCTCACTGCTTTCTGTAATTATACCCTAGACTGATATGTGGTGTGTGTTTGTGTATGTGTGTGTGTGTGTGTGTGTGTGTGTGTGTGTGTGTGTGTGTGTGTGTGTGCAACGATTTGATTTAGTCTGTCTCCACCAAGAGCATGTCACGTTTGGCTGTGTGAAAACACGTACATCTTTCTGTTTGTTTAGGCCTTGTAAACTATTTGTCACAGTTTTCGAATTCCTTTTTTAAAATCGGCGCCAGAAAGAACGATGCCACTGCAAAAACCAGTCGCTCATTCAAATGAACTATTCAGACATCTAAATCACTGGAACTGGCGCTTGGTACGATGTAATATTTTTATGTAATGCACGTGTTTTCACCTCCATCGATATAATTTAGCTCCTTTGAGAAGTGGACTGCTTCGACCCTGTCTGTTAAAGCTGAACCGGTCGGTGGGTATGACAGCAGTGCAGTGCCCTTGCTGAAAGACAGAAATAATCAATCAACGAGGGAATCAAACCCAAACCACTTGCGTGCAACAGCGAAGAGCATAACCTTTTCATTACAGTTGACAAATTTATGTACGTATATTAATATTCGCCCTTTCAAAGTTTCGCTACCTTAGAAGTGCAAAATTCTATCTGCTCTAGTAGCTAGTTTTGAGAAATATAACCTGAAATATTTGAGTTTCACTAACTGTCAAACTTTTTCGAATGCAATTCTTGGAATGTCTTGACAACAACCCCGAAAAGAAATTCTTACGATTTTGATAGGGCCGATAGAACATTTGGTTTCGTGACCTCAAGGTCTTAGTAACTCAAAAAAGCCCAAAATGTCAGATAGAACTTTGTAATTCTGAAGTAGCAATTTTATGCTGCTCTTTTCCTTTCCTTTGTCAGAAGTGTACTCAGGTTGTGAAGACATTGGATGTGACCTTTCTGTTATATCTCATAATGAACTGCCCACGATATATCTGTCTGTGCATGCAGTCAATAAATCGTAATACTATTTATTGTATTATTCTTCCATCCTGATCCAGCTCACTGTCTTTACAGGTGTCCTGCTTTTGTGACTTGTGTGACTTCGCAATTAATTGTACAATTGTGTATGTGCGTGAGAGTTCTACACACGTGCACGCCAATGTAAACGCGCGCACACACACACATACACACACACACACACACACACACTCACTCTCTCTCTCTCTCTCTCTCTCTCTCTCTCTCTC